ACCAGTTTATATTTTCAGATTATTTTCGTCACCTCTCAAATATAGCGTTTAAATCTTTGCATATAACACCCATCAATTAATACCGAATAAAATAAATCTAGATTTTAGATAATCGGTTGTTGAATGCAAAAAAAAAAACAAAAAAACAGAGAGAGAGAGAGAGAGAGAGAGAGAGAGAGAGAGAGAGAGAGAGAGAGAGAAATGCAATCCACCTGCTCGCACTGATAAAACAGATAGATGCAAAATTAGAGAATATCAAACAATTAATAATTCCAATATTATGTATACCAGTATATAGCGAAAGAAAACCTACCCAGTTATCCGTGTTTTCATGTAGTTCCCTTTCTCCCCAACAGGTGGCTCTGGTGTACCGAAATAAGTTCTTCTGTGGCGGTTCCCTGATTAGCGACAGACACGTCCTCACTGCTGCACATTGCGTGTTTGGGTAAGTTTGTTATGTTTTCTTGTATTGTCTTTTTTTTTCTTTGAGTTGTAAGTTTTGTTTTGTATTTTTTTTTTAGATTGTATTTTTTTTTTCTGTTCAGTTATTTTATATATGTCAATTTTTTTTACCCTTTATAATCGATTTTCGAAAAGCTCACAAATTCATCATAATTTTGTTTTTAATTAAACCTCAAAGAAAATGTGTCCAATACCTCACAGAGAGCCATAATTTCTTAAAAAACAAACAAACAAAAAACACACAGACACCCACAATCTCTTTAATACCTCCCAGGAAACTAGGCTCTCTTTGAAAGCCTCACAGACAACATTTCCTTTAAAAAAAAGATAGATAAATAAATAATAAATAAATAAACACTCGAAGGCCTTCCAGACAGCTAGAATGAAAACTTCTCAGACAACCAAACTTCTTTTCAGTTGTGCAAACTGCCTTTAAAAACCTCCCAAACGACTAAACTGCCTTTACAAAACAACCAAAATGCCACAAACGACCAAACTGCCTCTCCAAAAACCACCAAACTGCCGCAAACCACAAACTACCTCAAACAACCAAAACTGCCTCTTTGAAAAAACGACAACCAAAACCACCACAGACAACCAAAACTACCTCTTTGCATAAACAACCCAAACCACCACAAACAACCAAAACTACCTTTACAAATACAATCAAAATGCCACAAACAACCAAACTACCTCTTTACATAAACAACCCAAACTACCTTTTCACAAAAATAGCCCAAACCACCAAAACTACCTCTTTTAAAACAACCCAAAACCACCACAAACAACCAAAACTACCTTTATCAAATACAATCAAAATGTCAAAAACAACCAAACTACCTCTACATAAACCACCCAAACTATCTCTTAACAAAAATAGCCCAAACCACCCAAACTACCTCTTTTAAAACAACCCAAAACCACCACAAACAACCAAAACTACCTTTATCAAATACAATCAAAATGTCAAAAACAACCAAACTACCTCTACATAAACCACCCAAACTATCTCTTAACAAAAATAGCCCAAACCACCCAAACTACCTCTTTTAAAACAACCCAAAACCACCGCAAACAACCAAAAACTACCTTTACGAAAACCGTAACCACCATCCAGAGCTTGTTTAAAACCCTCTCTCTCTCTCTCTCTCTCTCCCTCGACAGGAGCTTCTCTCGAGGCATCAGCCAACTCAGAGTCAGCATTGGAGACCACGACATCTCCACCAAGAACGAGACGGAGCATATTGTTGGCAAAGTGAGAATTATTATTATTATTATTATCATTATTATCATTTTATTTTTTTTTTTTTATTATTTTTTTTTATTTTATTATTATTTTTTTGTGTGTGTGTTTTTAGCACTTGATTTAGTTATCTATTATTTATTTATTCATTTATTTATTTGTTATTTATTGATTTAGTTATTATTTATAAGTTTATGTATTTGTTTGTTAGATTGTTTAAATATTTGATTCACGAAGAATGAGACAGCATATTGTTGGCAAAGTGAGATTTTTTTTTTTTTTTTTTTTTTTTTTTTTTTTTAGTAATTGATTTAGTTGTTTAGTTGTTTATGTATTTGTTTATTTGAATATGTATTTATTTGATTCACCATGAATGAGACTCGGCATATTGTTGGCAAAATGAGAATTATTTGTTTTTTTCTTTTTTTTATCAATAGATTGTTATTATTATTAATTGTTTTGTTGTTGTTATTATCATTATTAGCCATTAGTACTATTACCATCAGTAGACATTTTTATTATTATCATTACCATTTTCATTACTGTTACTATTAATTGTACCAGTAGTAACAGTACGAGTAAAAGCAGTAGCAACAGTAATAGTAGTAGTGTCATTATTAAAGTTATTGCCATTTTTAATACAATTTATGATAGTACCAATGTCATGTCAATAGGCTGGTTTGTTAGAATTGTGCGAGGCCGGACCCAAAGAATATTCATATACTTGACATGCATAAATAGAGAAACAAATGTTTATTTATCAGTCTATACATGCATATCAACCGGGCAAATGGATAGTTAAATGTACATCTATCAGATATATGGATAGATAGGCCTTTATTTCTGCGTCTGTATTTATGAAAATGCATTGGGTCGAGCCTGGCACAATTTTAACAAACCGGCTGAATGTCACTGGTACTATTAGTAGTAAGAAAGTGACTTTCATGAGGCACTAGAAAAACAACAACAACAATACCTCTCTCCACATCCCCTCATCCTTATCCCCTCATTTGCCTCACTCATCACTTGCCAAAATTTGCCCCTAATTCCTCAGTTATTACTCAATTTCCCGTCACCCACCCCTCCCCCTAACCCCACGAATTCCCCTCACCAATCCCTCATCCTAACCCCACGATCTCCCTTCACTTTCCCCTTACCCTAACCCCACAATTTCCCCACATTCACTCCTCATCCAAACTCCACGATTTCCCCACTCTCATCCCCTCCCCCAAAAACTCAATTTCCCCTCACTCACCCTTCCCCCAAACCCCTCAATTTCCCCTCACCCTAAACAATTCCTCTCACCCTAATCCCACGATTTCCCCTCACTCACCCTTCCCCCTAACCCCTCAATTTCCCTTCACTCTCCCCCCTAACCCTAAACAATTTCCCCACACTCACCCCTCACTCTCCCCTCAATTTCTCCTCGCTCACCCCTACCCCTAACCCCTCAATTTCCCTTCACTCTCCCCCAAACCCCTCAATTTCCCCTCACCCCTCCCTCTAAACAATTTCCCCTCACCCTAAACAATTTCCCCTCACTCACCCCTCACTCTCCCCTCCCCCAGGTGAAGCACGTGCACTGGAACCTCCACTACAACCCCCACTCGACCGTCCACGACATCGCCCTCATGGAGCTGGAGGAACCGGTGTCCTTCCGTTACGGCGTCAGCGCGGTGAAGCTCCCCTCGGACCTCGGTGGGAAGCACGGGGTTTCACTTTTTTATT